GACAAGTTTCCCTAAATAGTTTAGTACAGGATTGAATAAAAACATTGTAGCATTCCTTTAATCTACAATCGACCGATTACTATTTAAATATGTTGGTACGTCTATAATGACCAATCATGACATTATAATATGATATTTGCATAAAGTAGTATCTAATATTTTTTTATAAAACAATTTATTTTACCAATAACATATAATAAAAGTGTAGTAATGCTTTAGTTGTTACGGAAATTAAAAAAAATATGCTCGTCTTAAAAGAAATGCGTACAGGCAAAGTTGCAATCTAGTATTTAAATCAGGATCCTAATAATATTTTGATATCTAAAATATTAAATTGCTATTAAGGTCGTACACAGGTAATATAAAATATTAATGGCTATGGTTGAAGTCGTTTTTGTAGTACTTAGGCACATAGTTCTTGTGCAGTGTTTCCGTGTGCACTTTATCACGATCGTAATGAATGGAAATTACCACGATCGTTCCTGAACGTCGCGGTTTCGCCACAGAGTAAATTATTATATCGAAAATAAAATAATGTATCTACTATAGTAAAATGTAGTACATACCTAATAAGTTTACTTTGGTTTAAATCTTGACTTCACTAAACAATAAGTGTACAATATAACATTCTCTTCTTCTTTTACTTATATGCTTAACGTTTTTTTTTAATTTTATTGAAAAGCAATTAAAAACTTTATTAAAATATTACTAGCTGTTTTTGAGTTATGCGCGATAAAACAGATAGACACATTATTATAATACCTCAAATACTACGTTATGTTATTAAAAATCGAATACAGACATAGAGTATTTGGTATCCCAATATTACAATTTGGCCACAATTAGTAAAACACGCTTTGTAATAATGGAAATAATAGAAAAATGTAGAAGTTTGCAAAATCAAATTGTACCAAGATGTCTATTTGATCACTAGAAAATTTGAGTAATGTTTGAATTTACTTAGAGCAAAGTAAATAATTTAGAGGTTTGAGGCATGTACAAGTAATAGGTACTTTAGAACAGGGTCAGTAAATGATGAAAAAGTTCAAGGTTGTACTAAATTGCGATAACAAAACATCAATATGAAATAAACATATTTTTATATTTTATTTTAATTTCGTTTTTCATTACCTAAGTTTATTTCATTAAATCGACTTTATTTAATCGATTTTAATTTCATCGACTTTTTCGATTTAGGTATTGAATTTAAACATTATAATTTTTTTGATTTTAGTATTAAGAGTTCCTTAACCCAAGAGGAAAAAAAACCCTTATAAGGATCACTGTGAATATTGATGTTATTTTATAACTTGTATGTCAAATCAGAAGTACTTAATCACCATGACATATACTCGTACCTATAACTAATCAAATTGTACTTGCAATGTAATAAGATCGCTATATGTCTATCTAAGTTTAAATACATTTCTATTAGGTATTCGGAGATAAAGTTGTGAAATCCAGCAATAAACTTAGAGAATGTTTGATAGTGAAGTAACGTTTTGACTCGATTACGAAAAAAATCTATCAGCTGATACACAGTAACTTGCGTTAGTTTTTTAATATATGTGTGCAATGACCGCGGCTCCGCCCGCGTTCAAATGACCGAAAACCAAATTATTAGGTTTTACATATTAATATTTACGTATCTACCAGAAAAATATGCACAAAATTTTCAACAACAAACAAATATTCCTCCTCTCCTCTCATATTTAATTTAGTATATTATAGAATAGTATTTAAATACTACTACACTTATATTATAAAGAGCATAAAATGTCGAAAGTCATCATCTTCACACATTCCGCAGTAAATGAAGGTTTGTTATATTATTTAAAACTAGCATTGCCCTATATGTTGACTCGGATAACATGCTATCACCTTACCAAATTTCATCATAATCCCTCCAGTGGTTTGTCTGTGATGCGGTAACAGACAGACAAACAGACAAAAAATCTAAAAACTATAGATTCGGCCTCTGTATCAATAATAATGTTTATTTTAATAAGAGTTTTCAAAAAATATGTAATGTACAGATTCGGCTTAGTTACAATTTTATTATATGTATAGATTAGAGAAGCTCTCTTTAGATTCCACGAACAGGAAAACCTGCCCTTGGCTTGGATCCCTGGTCGTTTAGGCATTATTGATAATGAAATTGCTGATAACTACGCCAAATCTGCAACAGTCAGTGGTATTTTAAACATTATTGAAATTACTTTCACGACTTACGTTCTTTGTCTAAAAAAAATTTTTTACACATCCTGGAATAAATTATGCTTCAATCCAACCGGAGGTTCCAGTCTTCCCGTGGTTCTTTCGATTTCGCCGGGCTGACCGTAATACCACCTCAATTATATATGTGTGTAGGCTCTGTCTAGGACATGCATGTGGCTTAGATAAGGGTTCAACTGATCATATTCTATTTAATTGTCCCAAATTATTTTCAAAAAACTACATTAAGTTAGACATGTACTTTATCTAACTACAGACTCTCAATTGAATTTATTTTTCTCCACGAAAATTCACGAACACTCGAGTTTCGGCGGGGTCGAAAGTTTCGGCTGTATCGTGGCCGAAACCGAAACTAAAGCCGACACTAGAGTTTTTAGCCGAAACTGGCCGAAACTGAAACCGAAACCGAAATTTCGGTAGGTTTATTATATTAAATTATGTATGTAGTAACTAGCGGCTCACCCTCGCTTCGCTCGGGTTCGCCTGTAGACAAACAAAGACATATCTATCCCACGGGAACCGTACATTTTTCCGGTAGCTTATTTGTTATTCTGTGATGTGTGTCTATATGTGTGAACTATATTATTGTAAAATTTCATTAAATATTCAATCAGTAATTTTTGTGTATTATGCTGTATAAGTTACCTACTATAGTTTTTTAACTATCCCACGGGAACTCCATAATGTTCCGAGATGAAAAGTATCTAAAATGTTGACCGGGGATATAAGGTACTACCATGCAAAATTTCATTTAAATCGGTCTAACAGTTTTAGACATTACCCCTTACAAATAGACAAACAGACAGAGAAACAAAAAATTCAGAAATACCTGGATGTGTTCTATTTCTCTGCTTGCAGGCATGCAAGTGCTGACTCGGTTTTTAGCATTTTTTTTCTATGACGACGATGATTATTCGACCTCTACAGTTTTATTATAATGTATAGATTATAATGTAAAGATAATAATAGTTGAGATAACATTATCGTATATTACACAAATAGAAATAAAGTGATTACAAGTTTTGGACAACTTTTGTAATGTAATTTGTGGAATAATAAATGAAAAAAAAAAACGTATTGTTGCGTTTTTTTAATATAACATTGACAGAAAAGGATAACATGAAAGTTTTCAATTATGTTTCTTACATTGATTATATTTAAAATTAGACTAATAATTCAAAATTAGAGAAATGAGATTTTTAATGTGCCTTTCATTTCTTTTATTTTTACTTATTTCATAGGCCGCGATAGGATAAAATACATATAAAAATACAATTTCGATAACAAGTAATTTTGAACTTTTAATATTAAAAAGTATTAATCTTACAATTTAAAATTATATTGCGAATAAGTAAGCCATAAGTAATAAATGTAATTTCAAGTATATTGCGGAATCCTAAAGGGAAAATTGTAACTTGGTACGATGCAGTGAAAGCGACAAAGTGAGTCTGTTGAAAGTTGAACTTAAGAGAAAAAATACGTACAATTGCCACTTCACATTATATATTAATAAAAAATATAGGTTTTGTAACTTTTGAGCGTAGGACCGAGATAACGTACCTACCACACAATTTGTAGGACAACGTGGCTGTTAAATTATATAAATATTAACTAAGCAACAGTAAAAAAATCAACTGGTTAGTAATCATTTTTGATGACCTCGTTATCGATACATGTTGGAAGGAGTAGGAGAGGAAGGGTTCCCACTCTTTGATCAAGCTATACATTTTGTAAGACCAATATTTTTTAAATAATGTTAATAGATTTTTGTAAGAGAAAAGGTTGGGAGTCTCATCAAAATGAAGCTACTCACGGAAAATTAGCTTGATACTAATCAGTTGTAAAAATGGGCCAGGGATCCGGGACTATTATTAAGTTACGAATAAAAAAATATAGGTAATTTTGAGCAACCATAACACATAAAGATCTGATTATTGAAGTTTAAAATAATACATTGACTAAACGTATTTATTTGATACAAGCAGAACCCGCGTTTTCGCTCGCGCTAAGATTAAAAAAAACGAAAAAAGGAAGATTTCATACAAAATTTGATCCTCTATTTTACCCCCTTATGGGATGAATTTCGAAAAATGCTAAAACGCGTATTTATTTAATTTTATTGAAGACCATTAATACCAAGTTTCAAGTACATAATTCTGATCATAAATAATTTTTCGGGTTGTATTATAACGTGTCTTCCTGTGGAAATTACATAATCTCCCGCGGTAAAAAGTAGCCTATGTCACTCTCCAGCCCTCTAAATATCTCCACACAAAATTCACGCTAATCCGTCACTCCATGTCTACGTGAAAGAAGGACAAACAAACAAACAAACAAACAAACAAACAAACAAACAAACAAACACACTTTCACATTTATAATATTAAAGCAAGTATGGATGACAAGTAAAATATGTCAATTGTGGCCGGCTGGATTTCGACACAAGAGTGGCTTTGACAAATGTTAAAAAGATTCGCGCAAACAATAGGACATTGCTGTGAGCTCTCTTACATATGGTTGTGTGTGCGTTGATCGTTGACAAAACATTTTTTTCCAGCTTAACTGTTGACAATTCCAGACACAGCTCGTCGTTGCCTTAAGGCGATATATTAGTATATAGAGTTTCCTATCGTTGCACAGTTGTATGAAACTTTGTCTCGGTAGGAATATTTATTCGTGTGTTTTCGGGGTGACTTTCGATATTTTTGTCTGTATTACTGTTGACATGAATGGGTAGAATAAAAAGTGTTTTTTTTTTGTTTCAGCCAACACAAAATGGATCTGGAGTTTCGGAACGTGACATACACCGTGTACAATAAAATAGTTAAAGGTAATTGTTTTTACTTTACTATTACGTCATATAAATTTATAAAGACCATAAAAATTACTACAATTTTAATTTATGAATAAAAAACTAAGAAACTGAAAACTGTCGCTATAAGTCTGGTAGAGAGCGTTCCTCAATGTAGCTGACCTTATTTAAAATCAATATTCTTTGATCTTTCTTGTTTGTTTGTACGTACATACGTATAAAGCAGTGAAGGAGTGAAGTGAGAATAGTTTGATAATTTTTTTAAATTTTAAATTTATTATAACTCTTTCTAATGTTTATTTCACATCTTAATTTACGTGAGTTCCCATTAAAGACAAACCTAACTCATAATTGCAATATTTGAGAAAAATACATGACAGATTTTTTATTATATTTTCATGGCATATAATTTAAAAAATAAATGTCTTGTAACCCTTTTGTATTTACGTCAATAAAGATATTATTATTATTATGGCAGAATTGGAGTAATTATTATTAGCATTAAATTAATTATAAACATCATCTGGTTGTAAACCGGGTTCTTACTTTAGTACATAATACTGTACTTTTCCGTGTTAAATGCAGTCAGATTTATTAACGTTATTTTCACTTTCATAGTGACGGAAATCTGGAACTCTATGCCCTTGTAATAAGTAAACTTTTACATAGTTACCATCAAAGCGAAAGCACTTTCAAATCGTAAGAGTATGTTAACGAGAAATGAGAAGCTGGGTTTATAATTTAATAATATCTGATAATATGTATTTGTGTATCTTGGTAGTTGGTAAAAATATAAAATTGTTCAACGGGCACTTTTTGAGTTGATTCTCAAAATGAAGGAGGCTTTTAAGTCGACTGATTGTTTTTTTTTTAATTTAAAGTAATAATTATTAATTAATGATTCACTTATAAACGAATACAATTTATAATAGTTTATTTATAGCAAAACATCAGGTTACAAAAATATTCTCTTTACACAACTGTTTCGCTTTAAACCTTCGATCAACAATACTTTGTTGATCGAAGCTTTAAACGTATAAAATATCTAGAAAGAGTGCTTAGAACAGATTATAATTTATAGTATTATTTCAATTTCATTTACTTTTAAGTTTTACTATTATTAAAATAAAAATAAAACTAACTGAAAGATAAAGCAAGTCTCGCTCGCAGCAAGTATAATACTTATTATAGGGGAAATATGCTATAAAAGGGACAAGTTCAGAATGGAAAAAATTAAATTCACGGCGCTAGAAACCAAGTAGTAGATTATTGTTTTCTACATTCTTATAACATTTACTCAGTAACAATATTGAAGTAAATATCATTTTGGTTTTCAAAACAAAGAAAATGGCGAAGCGTGGTTTAATTATTTCGTGAGTAAAAGTATTTTATTTGTTATTTGGGAACTTTATATATTAGATTATTTAAATAATATTTGATAGTTATTGTACCGCTAACTGACCATTGGTTTAACTACTTAAAAGGTGAGTGCACAATAATATAAAGTTATTCGAAAATCTTTTTGCTGTGTTTCATACACAGTCGTGTTTGGGACAAGTAAATAAGCCTTAAAGGCACGAAAAGTAGTAGTTGAGGCAGGACTTAACGCCTCATTAAGACGGTGGAGGATATGTTCCTTTCATGACCATCAATGTCCCATTGAAGGCTACGTCGTAATGAAATGGATATATTTTCGGAATTTTTAAATTTAACTTTAATGCTACAATGATTCGCAATGATATTGTTTTTGGTTTATATTTGTATAAAAAAAAACACAATGTCGAAAGAAACAAGGTACGCACCTGTACCTTCCCAATATTATTTACAAGTAGGTAAGCACTAACTCATTATGAACAAAGTCTGAAATATTAGGTAATAGGTATTTATCACAATTTATTACAAAATCTAACCATACATAATTTTAATTTCTATGTGTCTTAAGCCGGCAGCCAGGGGTAATAACCAATTAAATCAATATATATATTCTTTATTGCACTAAAAAAGTATTAAAAAAAATACATAGAAAATGATGTGGACAAAGGTGGACTTATCTCTATAAAAGATAAGTCCACCTTTATCAATCAATCAATCAAATCAAAAAAAAACAATAAAAAAAAAATTATAAATATTAAACAGTTATGGTCATTATGCACTATGAATTAAATTTTAATAATAATAATTATATAATATTTTTATTAATAACAATTATAAAATATTCTGTATAGACATTTTTTATTTTCCCTAAAATATGCGTTAAATGATGACTTAGTAATAATTACAGTTCTAATCACAATCTACTCAGAAAACTCATCAAAAACTTTAATAATAATTTCATTATTAAAAGACTTTTTATGCTTCCAAAAATGCTATTCCACATAATTCACGTAATTAGTGACAGTTTTAAATAAAACTTTGGCAACGTCAGTATTAGTTATGATTATGCACTTATAATCTCATAAAGCAAGATATGCAAAAGTGGTTTAGACAATAAAAATAATATATCATCGCAATTTTCTTCGTAGTTTTAGTAATATAATGTATGTTAGGAAAATGAAATTTTATGTTATATAACGTTACGCAGTAAGAGGCCATTGACCTTAAATCTCAAGCCTTACTTACATCAACGGTGATATATATGTATGTAGTTATGAATAAAACAGGTGTTAGTTTGTTGTTTCTAACTAAAATTGAAAGTGATATTTTCAATTTAATCATTCTCATTACCCTTCTTCTATTAGAAGATGACTTTATGCTATAAAGCTATGATTCTCGCATAGTTAATTTATGTGAAATTGCTACGTTCCTCGTTGCTCCGGAGCGTGATATTTAAGACTACCTGCCCTTTTCAATCAAAAGGCTATTAACAGCAAAAAGATTTCAATCAAAAATCAAAATCAAATCGGCCTCAAGTTTCACCACTACAAACAATCAAACTCTTCACCTTGATCGATTTGCATAGATATAAATTATTGAAAGAAATTACTGAAAGAATGTATTTTCTATGATATTTGGTTATTTATGAAAGACATGGATTCAACCAGATGTTATTAAGTTTTGGGACATTTGTTATGCAAAGCATACATATGTTATTTAGATATTGTTTTGTAAGATTTCCAAAGTTGAAATTATTTGTCAATTCGGTTGTGACAGTAAGTTTGTTCCAAAAAACGGTACTTGACAGACAGCAGACAGACCTTGAGACCCATTATTTCTTTAATGTTGATTTTATCATTTAAATCTTATAACGGCAGTTAGAGTAACTAAATATAACGAGGTTACTTTACCCAGATGTAGCACTCGCGTGATACATTGTTAAAAATGGGCATTTTTAGGGTTTGTAGAAAGTTGAAATTTTCACAGTGTGTATTTATATAGCCGCTATATCACCAAATATATAAAAATAATATATATAAAAATAACGAGGCAGTTGTAGCCTAGTGGTAACGCGCTCGCTTGGGTAACCGAGTGAAGCGGGTTTAAGTCCTAGGTTTCGCACCTCTGATATTTTGCGATGTGCGAATCATTTATTAAATGATTAGCACTTGCTTTACGGTGAAGGAAAACATCGTGAGGAAACCTGCATGGCTGAGAAAAACTATCAAGTTTTCGAAAGATATGTGAAGTCCGCCAACCCGCACTTGGCCAGCGTGTAGCACTATGGCCTGATCCCCCTCATATTAAAGAGAGACCCATGCCCTGCAGTTGGACTTTAAAAAGGGCTGTATTAGCGTAGCACTTAAAATGAAATAACCAATTATTACATTCGCTTATTAATGTATTTATTATTTAAATATGATTACAATAATGAAATAACACACCGGACCGTTACTCGCACTCTCACACCCTGTCAATATGACAGTTGTGTCGCATACATTTTTAATAATAAAAAAAATAATGTTGCCATTAATACCATCGTATTTATATAAATCAAATTAATAATAATTATTATTATTTAACACATTATTATTGCCTCTTTAATTCATTTCTTTTAATTCATTGTAATAAATACAGATATTTTAAATTGAAAGATGTAAAAAATATGATGACTATGTTAACAGCTGAATACACACCAAATAATAAAAATCAAGATGACGTATTTCGGATATAATTAAATTAGACAATTACTTTACAAATTTTGACATATTGTTATTATATAGCGCCTGTCTCTTTTCTTTTACAAAGAAATAATTTGTATTAAAAAGTACATAGTCTTATAGATATTATTTTGTACGATAATATTATTATATGGAAATCTTCATGTGCGAATCCGATTCGCACTGACCGACCGTGCTTACTCGTAAGTAACTAAGTAAATTGTATAGTTGTATAATATACAGAAAACATTTCGACTTCTAAATGCTTATGAAGTGAAACTTCTTTAGAATCGTTGTGATTTGAAACTCGAAAACGGAAATACGACACTAAAAAGACACAAACACATAAATATATAGGATTAAGTCGGCGAGAGAATGAGATGAAATACATTGCCATGTTGCCGTGGTAACCGTTGTTATTGTCTGACAAAAATATTTCAATAGCATTGCCCGCGGCTCCGCCCGCGTTCAGATGACCAAAAGCCAAATTCTTAGGTTTTACAGATTAGTATATTACATTGCAGTTTTTGCATTTTTTCTCAGAAATGAGATATTTTCCCACGGTAAATAGTATCCTATATGTTGACCCGGATAACCAGCCAATAAGTAATAAAATTGTAAATACTGTTAAATTATAATCTATCTCGCGAGATTGTAAACTGTCGAAAGATTGTGAACCGTAACATACTGCTTACAATTTAACGCATTATTTTTGGGTAGATTATAATCTATCAAAGTGAAACCTTCAAATTGTGAAATAGAAAAATTTACCATAGAGTTACAAAACTATTACAGTAGGCATAATTATGGTAGTAGCCGGCCGCTGCCGCGGCACGCTCACTTCGCTCGCTCGGCTCGTACGATATGGTCACTGTTCTAACTTACAGACTAATCGGAATCCGTTTTTTTAAGAGAAAAAAAATT